AAATGTTTTCTTAAAGGGCAGATCAATTTTAAAACCGGCATGAGAAAACGGACTCGAAAGATTTAAAAAAATTCTACCTACTTTAACAAAAAAAGAAGAGGAAGCTATATTAGACTCTTATAAGAAATTATAACTTCTTGAAAAAATTAAATTTTAATATTTGAAAAAAATCCACAAGAAAACCCCTAAAGATATTTTATCTCTAATTTTCTTCCTAATGGCCCAGAATAATCCTAAATCAAGGGAGAAACCTGTGTGGTTAATTTTCATTTGGAAGTTAATTATAAGGAAATTTGTTCATGTTTTGACCAATAAAAGAATATCCAGTAATTTGCCAATAACCCGGGTTTTCAGTACCAGGTTAAGGCATAGATAACATAAACTGCATTTATATTGACCAGCAGGCTGATAATTGATTGGCTAATCTTAATTTAAACTGGCCAGCTCGAGCATTGAAACTAAGTTCAAACCACAGACGTGCACTGAAAAACTTGCCCTTAGTGAGAGACATTTACAGAAAAGTACGAAAACGCAGCCTTGGAAGTAGTTACTAGTTGTTACCCGTAAAAACTTGGAACTTCTCCCAAAATTTCGCTTCTCTCGCGCTTTGCCAAATTTTGCGCAGCAAATCGTCAAAACATGAAAACTCTAGCAATTGTTACCAAATACACATTACAAAATATCTCGTAAGAGGGAGCTAATATATCAAAAATTGAGAGTAAACTGCCGAATGTGAGTTAACTCCCCACTGTAAAACCGGCTTAAAATATACCAATAGTGGTATTCGCGCTTCTATGTATTCGTTGTATCCTGCGTAAGTGTAACTGGACGAGCGTGTGGTTGTTGTTGCATGTGTATTTGATGTACCGCTAGCAACAACAAATCCCACGCTCATGCAGTTACGACTACCCAACATACAACGAATACACATAAGAGCGAATACCCCTAATGTTAATTTTTGTAGATGAAATACACATACAGCCCCATATAAATTATTAACTATAAATTATTAACTATAATTTCACCATCATACAGTCCTATCATGAATTTTCAATCCTTGTGAATCATGACAAGGCTGATAGTTTTTTTTTGTTTTCAACCCACCGATTCTCCAGCTCGAATTCGTTTTTCTGGCTCCCTGTATCTTTCAATTTTTTCCAAATGTTCATCTTCCATATTGATTTTCTTTTTTCTATCTTTTTCCTCCGACATTGCTGCGTCTTTAGTTATTCGTTATTACTCTGTCTCTGTCCCGTACTGAAAATATGGCTTTGTAAATTTGTCTGCAGTTTCTATGGATTGCGATTTTGATAGAAATTTCGTTATATTTTGGCTGCAAACAACGCACTCGAAAATACATATATATAAATAAATATCGAAGGCAAATTTTGACGTCTAAATCACATAAACGACGTTTACGAACCGAAAATAAAAACAATTTTTGAAAGTTGATACTTTTTGAAATAATTGATTTGATCAGAGTTCCTTCCATGGAGCATGGTGTATAATTTCACCATGCTTCCAGAGTAGTTGTAAGCGCAAAATACTTACGGGCAAAAAAATAGAGATGAAGAGAATACATAACTGTGGCATTTTATTAATACAACTTAAGTGTATTTAGAAGGTTTGCCTTTGAATTAAAAAAGGATAAGTTTCACTTGAAAAATTTTAAATTTTTACAAGCTTCTATTAAAGGGGCAGCTTAAACTACATCTATCGCTAGTTAATCGGTAAAATATTGTTTGGGAGAACAATAAAATATTGATTAAAAGGGAAAAATGGGCTATCTCGGGATAAGCTGTTTTAATAAATTGCCACAGATACACAAGTATATATGAACATAAATTACAATTTTGCAGTAGAGCCCTTGAGAACCGCTCCTTATAGGATTTTTCTGAGGTAGAATCAGAATCTGTTTGTTTTTGTGTCTTAGGTTTGCCACCAAAAAACTCAAATATTTACGGACCTACATATAGTTATTGCGACAGACCGAACAACGCTTCTTACTGTTCTTGGTCCAGTGGGGGAGAAAAACGTTACTGTTACTGCGTTTTCAGAGGGACGGTTACATCTAAAGTCACGAGTTATCTGAGTGCTTAGGCGTTATTAGTAGTGTGCGCTGTTAAAGCATTGCTGGGCTTAAGTATGGCATTAAGAAGGCCTTGCGGGTTTTTTGCGATTCGGAAAAGAAGGGTTAGCGGTCCATAAGATTCACCTGTGCTGGCAGGCTTCTCGAGTTTAGTTAAAAATACCACTCTCTCGAAGTTCTAAGAAAAAATGAGGATAGCCAGTGACAGGTTTGCAACTAAGTTCTTTTTATCACCAAGCATATTCTGTTGGGATCAATGGCTTTGCAAGTTTTTGACTTTCTGATTTTCAGTTTTCTTATGTCACGGTATCCAAAAGTCATCAGATATCATTTAACACTCTGCGCACTATAATATTTACTAAGGAAGATCTGTACGAGGACTGCTGGGGTTATGCATGTTTTCGACCCACCAGTCTATCAACTACAGGGATCTTCTGTTGCTTTGGCGCAACTTTCAACTCTTACAGTCTGGCTTGTTCCGAATATTTCAGACGTTGTCCCTGCACGCGAAAATGATCCACACCCCATAATCCAACTCTTTGAGTGCTCCAAATAGTACATATCTGCAAATTTTAAAGGAAGTTGCCCAGAGATGCATAGCCAGACCGACCTAAATAGATTCATTGAAGAATCCAAATGATGATATTATATAGCTCGTGAGCCGAGAAACTATCGGAGAATAAATCTCGAGAGCGAGAATTTGTACCTTAATTTGCACTTACCTAAAAATTTGAATATAATCCTTAACTTGAAGTCGCCAATGTATTCGTAATAGGCACAGCAGTCAAAGGGGCCTTTAGATTAAGTGGTTAATACCGAATACCGGCACGTTGCGATCTTGAGCGAGCTTAAAATAGGACGGCAGAACGAGGCCGACTTTGATGTCGGAACTGATTGCATAACATCATTCTGGGACTACCGCTTTAGGATGCTTTTATTCGAGGCCAACGAACAGGGAATGGTGGCATTTCTTTATAAAAAAAATTCACCCGCAAATTGTACCAAAAGTGAAAAGTATGCCGGTTCGGGGAAAATTAAACTCATGATAAGGCTGAATATATCCGGTCTGACGACTACAGTGTCTATGAGGTGGAGATCTTTGTCTTTCGTTAAAAGCGTATGATTTAATTAAATACGACTTTACAAACCGGTGGCAATAAAATTCTGCAGTAGGGCGTTCTTGAAAAGTTTTCTCTGGGATAGGTCGTTTTCGAACTGGCAGCCAAGATAGGTCGATCTTCAACTCAGGTAACGATATGGTGTTGCCATAGTCAATCCCGGTTAGAAGAATGTGCTTCTTTCTTGCGTTTATAGCGCGGGAGGCGCGGTTTGTGGGTATTCACAATAAGCCAAACTTGCCTACGAGAGGAAATATAATTTTTATATTCATATACGCCTTCCTAACCCAATCCCTAGCTAGATCGTATGATCCCTAGCGGTTTTATACTTGTTTAAGATACATAGTACATTAAAAATGTATTTCCTGCCCACAATATAAAAAAGAAAATAATAACAAAAAAATCTAAAAAAAAGCAACTAAGTTTGTATATTTGTTTATTATCAACAATTAAATTTATTTAGTTTCATTTATTCAAATAAATTTACAAAATATTTTACTTTATTTAATTTCCATGCCATTTCCTAATAATTGTTTAAATATGTTTGTTTGTTGTTTTTTTTTTGTTTGTATGTATATTTCTTTGTATGCGCTCTTTCAATTTTGTTTTAAACAAAGCTAAGTAATAATGCACATGCGAATATATTTGTACATACATACACATTGCTTAGCCATAAGTATGTAAGCATGTATGTACATACAGAGATATTAATAAACGTATAGGTGATTTATAGAATTTTAGAAAACGACTTAATTTAATAATAAGTATAGTATATAATAATTTTGATTTTAAAATTTAAATTTTGTAGTTGTTTCACTTGGTAAGACAATATTGAAGGTTTACATTTAGTTTTTTCTTTTTGTGTTTTTTTTTTTTTTTTGTAAATATTTGTTTTGCCAGCAAATTTGAAAATTGCGCAATATATGTATGTACGTAATATTTGTATTTTTTAGGTTAGCTTGCATTTGATTGCAATGCTTTTGATCCTTAGCGATAATTCATTTGTACGACATCATCGTCGTCGTCATCATTATCATCATCATCTGATCAAAATTTATTCCATACACTCACTTTTGCTTTTGACTTTTATCAGAATTTCAAATCATTTATTGCAGCACCCTTAACACAAAATTTTATCACTCTCGCGCTCAGACTTATATGAATTTTGTTTTATATTTTTAATATTATAACATTTATTATAAATCTGTAAAATTCAATGTTATGAATACAGTTTTATATGTATGTATGTATGTTTAAGTTTAAGAATTGAAGTTCGCTTTAAAGTTATTTTTGTTTGTTTTTATTTTCATTCTTTAGAAAAAACTAAGCGCTGCAATTATCATATTATCTTACAAATTTCTCTTTCTTTGTTGCTGCTGCTTTTACACAATTTGATTAGCATTTATGTAAATTAACTTAAATTAACTAGACATATGTATGTATGTATGTGTGCATGTAGTTGTTTTTATGTATATTTTTTTCGTGTGAAACTATAAATAAGTAGTTGTGTTTATTTAAATTAACAGCCTAATAACTAAAATTTTCCTCTTTTGTTGACTTGCTTCTCCTTTTCTTCCAACAGCTATGTATGTATGTATGTATGTCGCTTCAACTTCCAGCTGCCAGTTTGTCTTCTTACCACCTTAGCAGATAAACGCTGACGAACTTATAAAAATATGCTTTCATTTTGCTATTTTATTTTGACCCTTTTTCGTTAATAGCGTGTTATTTTTAATATACATAACATATGCTTAACTATGTATATAATTTTTCATTTAAGTTGAGTATATTTGTATATAAAGTTAGCATATATATATTTTTTTTGTTGCCTTTGCAGTTGGTTTGTTGTTGCGTCACTAATATTTGTTTGTAAGGATACAGGCGTTCAGCACTTTAAAGTAAAAGTCTCGTAAATTCTGTAAATAGACCAAAAATAAATGTTTTTTTTTTTTAATTAGTAATGATTCAATCTGTATTAATATTAAAAATAAGTTTTCATTTGAACGAAAATGAATGGTTAAAAAAGGGCGTTGAAATGTTTAAATTTTTATCCAATTTGTTGCGATCAGAGTGAAAATATTTGAGGGCGTCGATAAATGAGATTTTTAGCAATTTTTGACTACCCCTTTCAAAGTGACTTATGGAAATTTTTAGTTAGCATTGTGGTTTTTCTTAGGCCTCAGGAGGTAAAACTACACTAAAAAGGTTTTATGGATTAAGAAGAATCGATTATCAAAAATTAAAAAAGTTTGAGCAATTTCCCCTTTTTTGCCGAAAAAATGTTTAATTTAATTTAAATTTAACTTAAATAAAATAAAAGTCCACACCGATCCCAAGTCTGCTTGATCACTTGCCTGCCTGCCTAAGTTACTCGGATGTCATGGCGTATGAGTTACGTACTCGTATCATCATCAACATTTAGTCCGGTCGAAATAGAAATTTTAAATCCCTGTAGATGGGGTAATTGCTTTATTTACGGCCTAGTCTACTGCATTGCCCTCAATTTGAGACGAGTGTTCATGATCCTAATCGTCGTCTGTGCATTATCGCCATTGGCAACAGAGTCAAAGTTAGACATTTCAACGTATAGTTTCCACAGTTTGCAGACCGGTCTGACCGGTTTGGTTTGAAAATCCTTTCGTCCATTGCAATGCTCTCAGGATTTGGCACAACATTTTGGCCCTTTGTATTGTCATCCATTTCATCCGTTGTGATGCGGTATTCGTTCAACGACTCTTCTCCACAGTGGAGGGAATCAAGCAGTTTTGATTGTTTTTTCTTTTTAACATACGTGTCTTTAAATTAATGGGGAAGAAAGAGGTATTCCTAAAAGGCTGTCTAAAACCAGAAATTAAGTAATGAAAAGTAATATTGGTCTATTTCTATTACAAGGGACTTCAGAGGACGAAAAACAAAGTTATCCGACCCAGGCTAGCTTAAATAAGAGAGAAAATGCTGAATTTCTAAAAGTGTAGTTAGGTGTGGCAATGAAAATACTTTTCCTATGTATTTTGCTTTCCAATTTAAAAGTTCACTTTCCAGTGCTGGTGCTATACGAGTGCTGTCAAAACAATCCAGTGTCATCGTTCAACAAATTTGTTACCGAATTTGCATGAAATTAAATAATGTTGAATTAAACACATACTAATTAATATATTGTCTAACTAAAAATATCTTTAAATGAAAAGTATCAATTTATAAGTTATTAGCACATCCAACACATACATCACCATATTTAGAAACGTTTAACTTAAGATATGGGACCCTTTCATTGGAAAATGTAAACGAACAGACCTATTGTTCTTGTATTATATGTATACGCATTGTGCCAATATTTGTTCAATGTATTAATGCATCTGTATATACGTACATGGATATATTTATACTACATATACTGTGGACAAATATGCATGCTTTGCTGAGAAGGTCAGTGCATCCTTCTCCAACTACAACTACGGACTAATATTTGAATAACTCGATAGCTTAAGAAGTTATACATAAACATGTATTTACATAGGGACGTTGCCAGCGGAAGGTCTGCCGAAAAAAAATAGAAGTTACATCTCTAATTTATGTATGGAACGAATAATATATACGAGTACTGGTTATGTAAGCAGAAACATATTTGCGAAAAGTGGTCTCGCTAGGTGGCGCCTGGGTGGAGATATTTTTAAAATCCGTATTTATGCTCCCATTTGTTTAAAATTTGGCATACGTAGTGGAAACATATTTAGTAAGACAGATTTGCAAAAATGGAACTGCTAGGTGGCGCTGAGGTCAAATTAAAAAATATATTCGACATAAAATGCATATTTCTTTTTGTGGTCAAAATTGGTTAAAAAACCATATTATTAAAAATTTTTCAATGCAAATTTTAGTAACGTGACGTAAAGTTATGTTACACAATTTTTTATTTAATTTAACTTTTTTATTTAGAGTTTGCAATAATTTTTTTTTTAATTCAAACATTAGCATAAAAAACACCTTGAAAACTGCATGATCTGTTAAGATCAGTGAAAGGTATTGTATACAAATAAAATGAGCCAAATATTTCAAACTTATACGTTTTTCCTTTTAAGATTTTTAAAATTTGAAAATTCTGTAAATTTTTATATTTTTAAAATTTTTTAACCAGATCAATTTTTGCAGCTATATAAGTTTTTGGTGCTAATCAAAAAATAAACTTGCGAAATCCGAGAAATTGTGCAATTTTGAACTTTCGAAAAAATATCTTTTATTTTTATTTCCTTTGGCAGAACTTCGTTATATGATAAAATAAAAGTTCTGATCAAAATTTATGCAAATCAAAAATGGTCGATTGGTTGGACCATTGGTCGATTTGATTTGAATTGACGCATATGTTATTTAGGTTAAAAGAAAAAAAAAATGTACAGGGTATGCATATCGAATTTCGCAAAAAAAAAAAATTCAGGGACACCCTAATGTACATATGTATGTACATACATATGAATCAAAACAATTGCATGCCAGCGTTAGGATGTTGTGCATAAGCACGCTGTCGTGATGTGCGTCATAGCTGACCTCTGTTGTGCCACGCTGCACGCTAAGGTTAATGCACTGCAAAATTATTGCAAGCAAAACATATTTTACTTACAAGAATTGTACGGTGACAAAAGCTTCAGTATGCAAAGGGATGTATGCTTATTGGGTATTAGCTAGGTTTGCTTGTACTTATGCATGTATGTAAGAGCATCATAGTATACTACATATATGTATGGCTGACCTACCTTCGTAATTAATTCGGCCATCTTGATCCAAATCGGCAATAGCCAATAATTGTGTGAGTTGTGCTTCTGAGAGAGGTTCGCCAATCATCTCCATGGCGGTTTGTAGTTCGTCGCGGGTAATGAAACCATTGCCGTCCCGATCAAATACCCTGTAGAAAAAAAATATAGATTTATAATTAGTATCCTTATAGTAACTAAGTTTGTACCTGTAATTGTGTCTATATTTGGCTTTGTTACTGTGTCTGTGTCTGTACTAGTTGTTACTTGTACATGTATCAGTATCTATCGACCTCACCCTACTACAAAATCAATTTCTCTTATCGAAGTAACAAAGAGTTGATAAATATTTGTTTCTGTGTACATACACATACATACATATGTATATGTGGCACAAACACACAGTATTATCAGAAAATCAATAATTCACAATCCAAACAAGCACGAAATGAATGTGGAGGAGAAGCCCACAGATACGTGCCGGACCGCCGGCAAATTAAATATCTTGAACAAGCAAAGGTAAACATTCTCAGCCGCATTGTAACTCTGCTCCATGGGTTGGCAAACTGCACATTGCACATTGATACGAGTAAACTGACGCAGTTACTGTTTAAAGGGATTTAAATCAGACTTCTCAGGAAGTTACATTTTGCACAGTTAAGTCCTGCGTGGAAACAAAACCGAAAAGTCACTGTGTGTGACAGCTGAATGGAGAAATGGCTTGATTAAAGGCCAGCTAATTGCGCCAGCGACAAGCAGATCGCGGTTCTACCGAAGTGGATACAATTGAAATACATATTTTTGTATGAACATTAGGGTGCACAACTCTTCATACAAAAAAAAGGTGACATTTTAAAGCATCCGCAAACCTATTTCGTAAAAATATTAAGATGTATATTAGAGTGGTCTAACAAATTTTTTCCGAGTTAGGGTTGAGGCCACCTTCCAAAGTTTATTGTCCATATATTAAGCAAAGCATAGGTTAAGCAACCTGAGACCACTTCAAATTTAAATTATCCGTATTGGTCACAGAAAATTAAAAGTTGGTATAGGTATTACATATACCAAAAGGAAGAAACTAAAGGGGTGCCCCGTTTTCTACGATGACATTTTTTTCTCAAACAAAATTTGCAACACTCTAGATAGATAGATATTTAGTTGAGGGATGCACTGCGACCAGGAGATCTATTGTGCCCCTCTGCAACACTCTAATGTACATATGTACGCGGGAGGGTCCGATTTGAAAATACCTCCAACAATCGAGCTTTTTATAAATAAAATTAGTTTTTAAAAATGTCTTTATTCACACGAAATAAACTCTATGATAGCAAAAGTTGGAGCTCAAAAGACCTGCATACAAAATTTTTACATATTTGCTAGTTCCTATGGAAAACCCGCAACTTTTTTGTGTAGCGCCCTAATGTATGTACATAAGTATGTACAATTAAAATTCTATTGACGTGCAAAATCCACGATAACATTTTAAGTTGTCAGATGTACTAGAAGCTAAAGCGTTAGATTATATATAAGTATGTATGTATGTATGAATGTATGTAGATGTGCAATCCTAACTAGTTTGAATTGCCTTTCCTTAATTCCTTAGTCAAGGCACTCAAGATTCTGAATACTGTATCTATGTACGATTGACAAAGAATTTACTTATGAATGTATATACATTTGTATACAAACATGTGTGTACATATGTAGTATATCATATAAATATAAATACAGCGCACTTTTTCGATGGCTCACCTAAATGCGGCGATTAAATCTTCGGTGACATCATCATTCTCTTCTGGTTTACTTGCATTTTCTTCATGCTGTTGTTGCTGCTGTTGCTGTTCGTCGCGTATCGCCTGAATGCGCCCAACCCATTGCAGGAATTCAGCCTCGTTTATTAACCCATTTCCTGGAATGTAAAAAATAGATCGATTGGGTAATTAGATGACAAATAAATTAGTTAAGTAATGGGTACAAATTCTAATAAGAGTAACGCTCAAAAAGATAAATAGTGTCACTAGAGCTCGGCTATAAATCCAATCGAAATTCTGTGAGCATTAACGAAACTAATGCCCCATTCCAATAGGGTTCTACACATGTGATAAAAAAATGTGTGCCATTTAAAAAATGGCATGTGGAAGCGAACTTAGTGTTTATTTAAATTTTCAACTGTGTTATTACAATTTTTGTAATTTATTTAATACCCAGTGGAAATCGAGTATAAAGCTTCAAACATGAAAATAAAGCTGTGAATGATGAAGGTTTCTAAAAGATATTAGCCGTGCTGAGTTCAGCGAGTTCACGAGAAAGTTAATGATGTAACAAATGTCCCTCTTGCCAATGCGGAGCAGTGACATTTATAATGCTCTACACTCTTAATTTCCTCTATGTCGCTGCAACTGCGATAGAAGTCATTCGACCGCAGACAATTATATTGGTTATCAGTGGTGATATTCCCGACTACATGTCGAAGCAGGAGACGCTTCATTTGGGCCAGATTGGTCGCGCTATCCTGCAGGTGGGCTCTGCAGATCATCCACTATTAGCCAGTTCGGTAAATTTAGTTTCCAGCCAAAGTTTGTAAAATGATTACGGTATACCCTCACGATCTGATTACTTTCAGCTGCTAAAAAATCATTCCTCAGCCAAGGAATTATTTGACTACTCGTATTCTGAATCTCTGTACGCTGCCACTATCGGTAAAGAGCGGTTTCTACTTTTGCAAACCCGGTTGCGGTTTGATCATAAATCACAACGCCTTCAAAGGATTTTTGATAAGAAATGTGTGGGACTTGTTTCTTCAGAAGTGTGTTGACAACTACTTGTAAACTGCTGGTAGTTATATCACAATTGAAGGAACCCTTCCTCGCGAGTGCATCTGCCATACACTTACCTGATATACCATTGTGGCCTGGCACATATACGAAATATGTGGTGTGCCGGCTTGGAAATTAATTTAGAGTGCCTCTACACTCTGTGACAATCCTTGATGAGGATTTATCGCATTCAAGTGCTTTAATAGCTGCTTGACTATCAGAGAAAAAAGCTATTGCATGCGGGTTGAGAGAAGAATCGATTAGCCACCTTACAGCTTCCTTGATTAGTGTTATTTCAGATTGAAAAACTCTACGAAACTCCGGCAACCGAAAACTATGGTTGAATGAAAGCTCTTGCATGGTAAACCACAGGTAGGTTATTTTCCAATCTTTGTATGAAAACAAAGTCTGCAGGAATATTACCATAATTCTGACCTTTCCGAACCTCGTGTTACTCCATTTTATCAGCGCTTTAAATATTACTGCATAGCAGCTAGCCTGTAGTTTTCCTTCTATTTATGTACATACGTCTACAGGTAAAATTTGAAGCCAGATCTCAACGGCTCTTGTCGGCGTTGAGGATAGAGCTTGGTTAAACGTAGGACAATAGGTCGTTCAAGCCTTATTTTTTCCCTACAACTGATTTAAAGCTACATATATAGGGCAGTTATAGACAGTTAGAAGACTGTAATTTTTTATTATTATTTTTTTTCTGATTCGCGCCAATAATATATTTGCATATATTAGAGTGGTTAAAAAAAACTCTCTTTATGGAAATTCATAAACGCTGCCATCAAAATATTGTTACTTGTGATAAAAAAAGAGAAACGTGCTCTTTTTATTTTGAAAAAAAAGCGTCTTTAGAGGTCGCGCTGGTCGGTTTTTTATAAAAACGCTGATGTTCTATTTTTTTATTTTCGTGACATATTTAAGTGCAGCTAACAATGTAGTTTTTTCATGTAATTACTCAGGTATAATTGGGAAATATTTCCTTAATTACATACCTGTCTTGGACAGTTAGAATGGGCCTAATGCCCGAAAATATGCTTTTGAAAAGAGACTGCTAAAATTAAAACATTGATACTAACCGTTTTAAGCATTGTCATGGGTTGGAACTTGTTACCATGACCAGACCGACCTTTATTTTTTTTTCAAAATAAAAAAATGCTTTTCTCTTTTTTTATCACAAATAACAAAAAGCGGAAAAAAACATCTTTTTTTCAAAATAAAAAAATACTTTTTTCTTTTTTTATTACAAATAACAATAATTTGAAGTAGCGTTTATGTATTAAAAAAAAAAATTGAACCACTAACATATGTATGTGCATAAATACTTATTTGGCTAAAATCTCTTAAACGGTTAAAGCTTTATATACGCAGTGTTCGATTTAGCAATACTCTCGACGAATAGTAATCAATAAAATGTTAACGGTATGCCGGGTACTCCAACATTCAACCGCCCTTTTAGAATTTAAATATTTAAATCTCAAGTGAATGGTTCTTTAAATTAAAAACACCACGCACTTTTGTGGCTATTAAATACAATTTTCTGCATAAGTTTCTTGCCCATCTTTTAGCCATTAAATCATTAGAAGACTGAGTATTCACTCAACGTCAGAACAAGAGCGCTTTTGTTTTGTGATACCGACCAGCTTAGCAGAAATGAGCACAATAACAGTAACAATAACAAAAGCTATATGGCATATATACCCAGTAAACATTCGGCTTGGTTAACAATTCGAAAGTCATTGGAAAACAAATTTTTTTTCGAGTTCTCCATTCTCCAGAAAAATGGAACCATCGTTATCCCATGTATCTTCCCTTCGTTATTAACTCGAAATCCAGCCCAATATCGAATAGAAATTTTATTGAGAGAGAGTGACTCCCTTATGTTTCCCTTCAAGAATGAGCTGGATGTCACTTTCTTTCATGTTACTATGGTTTAAATTTTTTTTTTCGATCCCATTTCGAGTGTATTTTCAATCTACTATGAATGTTGGAAAACTAAGGCTGGTTATGAGTTCGCTCTCAGTTCGATATGCATATTGGATATCGAAGGTAATATTCGAACATTCGTCACAATGTTTATTGGGTATGTACATTGTACATATATATGTGTATGTATGTATATATGTATGTGCATATTTATAACGACAAAATAATAGTGTGGCAAGAAAAGGTAGTTTTTTTTAACTCGTATACTCGTATGGACAGATGTGAGTACATACATATGTATCTAAGTATATGTATATTTGTATGCATGCATTTCTTAATAGTATAGTATATAGTTAAAACATAAATAAATGCAAAAGAACAAAGGGACTAAGGAAGAAAAGGAATCCACTCAAAGTCAACGAAAGGTACGCATATGTAAGTATGTATTTACATGTGAACATGCTACTATTCGACTCAAACACATACATATGTATGTATGAGTATACATATATTTGCATTTATATACGAACGGCATACACACAGCTTGCTCAACTACTATTTAGTAGTTAGTGAGTGCTTTTGCAACCGACGCAGCGTGCACTGCAGTACATACAAACATACATATGTGCATACATATAACTGCCACATACGATTGGGGCGAAATGTAGCTGGTTTGGCGTTCAAAGCTGTTTGTTATAAGTGCCGGAAATGGCAAAAGTGCTCGCATGGATTGCATGCAACGCTTAGATGCTGCTATTGTTGTAGGCGGATTAGACATACATACATACATCTGCACTTCCTTACATACTTAGTATTTACATACTCATATTTCGAGTAGTTGTAAATGGGAATTTTAACCCTTTCAGTACAAGCGTGCAATATATTGGAGAAACTTTTTTTGTGCTTAAAGCTGTTTTTTTGTAAATAAAATAATTTTGCTATTAAAAGAACTGTTGACCGTATTTTTCACAAAAGTGAAAACTGTTACAAAAGTCGATAGTGAATAGTGTAATATATTGGCAAAAACAGATATTTTTTGGTGGAATTGAAATCCGAAAACATTTTTATGTATCATTCATTGTTTTGAAATACATATATTTCGCGAATGAAAAAAAAAAAAATGTAATTGAGATCACTTCCCATTTTGCAAATCTGGGCTACCACTGTCAAATTTAATGGACGCTAAAAAACGCAAAATGTTTTTGATTGTATTTATTTTTGAAATCAACGACCTAAAATTAGCCGATATACAAATTTGCAGATTTTTTGCTTCAACGGATGATTTTTTGGGCAGAAAGGGTTAAAGATGGAAACTGTTGCAAGTAGAACAATGTATTCTTAAATATAGACAAAAAGAAAGTGAAATTACAAAATTTTAGGAATAAAGTACAAAAACCTGTAAACACTCATCATGGCGCCACAAAAGCTATTGTTGCGCAGCGAAACGCATCTTAAACATACATACATACATACATACATACATACATACATACTTAGTAGATGCGCGCTTAATCTGCATTTATTTCTGTTTGAGGTTATTCGCTAGCATCTAATGCTTTTTGCGAACCATTCAAGCGTTCATTCATTTCACTTTCATTATTGTTGTAGCGATTACATTGCAATTTTGGTGAGTGCATCTGAGTGAGGCTTTGTGATGCTCACTGGTTAGCTGGCATTGACCTTGAATGCAATGTCGTAACGGCAAATAATTGTCAATGACAGCTATAGCATTCAGGCAACAAACGAAGTCTGGTTTTGTCAGCTGGCGCAGCTGCTTAAGGCAACGCGAAGAAAAGTGGGTAAGTAGTAGCGGTTGACTTACACTATGCATGTGCTTGGAAGCGTTTTGGGTTGTAGTTTGACATGTGGTATGAGTAATATTTTTCATTTGGAAATACACACACACACACACACACAGCGCAAACTCATTAGTATAAACAATAAAGACAGCAATTATAAAATAAAAACTGGACAAATTCCAAAGTCTTTTATAAGTTATGGGATGGTTCAACGAATTTAGACTTTTTTCTGCAACAGAATAAACTCGGTTCAGATTTAAACATCAAATATTTTAAGTTCAAAAGTTATAAGAGATTAAGTTGTGCGTGCGAGCGACTGGTATAGCGCGCTCTAAAACGCTTTATAACACGAAAAAAAA